CCTTCCTTCCTTCCTTCCTTCCTTCCTTCCTTCCTTCCTTCCTTCCTTCCTTGTAGTGATGATATTCCCAACCCAACTTCTTCCAACTGTGACATGCGAAAGCCACTGTGACCCCATCGGTTGGCACCCACCTCCCCCAAACAATACTTACATTTGTGATGCAGAACAGAGCACCCAGGAAAGTGATGAACGCAACCCCAAAGGTGAAGAGCTTCCTGTGCCTTTTCAGGATGTGGAAATCATCCGCTAAGCCAGTGATGATAGCTTCCATGCCCCCCATCTAAGGAGGAAGCAAAAGAGAGTTGTAGGTTAATAAGAATTCTTCCGGGATGATTTCAGAGTTAGTTTCTTTAAACATACCGAGGTCTGTCTGGTCCAGCATTCTGTCTCCAACACTACCAAGGTGGGTGAGGAAGATCATGATGTTTAGGAAGGTCAAAGGCAAGAAGGCAATTGTAAGTTATTGTTGCGTTCCCCGTCATCTAGAAAACCACAGGTACCCTGGTGTGTATTCTGGAAATTTAAGGGCACAAGCTTTCTTAAGAGGGGGCAATTTTACCTTCCCATTATTGTTCACAGAGCTGTCCCCCTTTTTTCTGTGCGTGGGGGGGGGGGTCAGCAGATCCACAGGACAGCATATGGGGCAAAGCGGGAGGTGAAATCTCCAGAAATCACTGTCCCTGTCTTCAGAAAACTTAAAAAGGTAAAGGTCAGGGGTCATTTTCTGCAAGAGCGCACAGGAGCGGAGCTCCGGCAGTAAAGAACCCAGGGGGCGGGCACATGCAACAAGCCCCATCCCCTGCTCCCAGCAGCCCTCAGTCAGAGCAAGAAGCAGCCAGGTAAGCTGCAGAGCCCCCCGGTCCAAAACAGTCCAGTGGCACCTTCAAGACCAAGTTTTATTCAGGTACAAGCTCTCCCTCCTCTGCAAGGACAGTTCCGCACATTCCTTTTCACCACCACCCCTGAACTAGGGATCCAGAACAGTCCAGTGGTGCCTGAGTGGTGGGTACTGCCTTCTGACACACGTCTGCTGAATCCAGCTAAGATTCTGGCCAAATCAATATTAAAAGAGCAAAAAAGACGTAGGGAGAGGCATGCGAATTCTGATTGTGCCTTATTCACTGGTCACTCCATACACCCCTCTGAAACAGCTTTCAGATGGTCACTCCGTACACCCATCAGAAAAGAGCCCGTTTGGTGTAGTGGTTAAGTGCGCGGATTCTAATCTGGGAGAACCGGGTTTGATTCCCCACTCCTCCACTTGCAGCTGCTGGATGACCTTGGGCAAGCCATAGTTCTGTCAGAGCTGTTCTCTCAAGGACAGTTCTGGAAAGAGTTCTCTCAGCCCCACATACCTCACATGGTGTCTGTTGTGGGGAGGGGGAGTTTGTAAGCCACTCTGAACGACGGGCGGGTTATCAATCCAATCTCTTCTTCTTTTTCTTTATATGTCAGCCTTCGCAATGTCATCCACCCAATGGGTAGAAGATTGGGAGGCAGACACAGGTTTGTTTCTTACTCAAAAATTGGTGGGACCCCCCCTTTTTTTGTTTTATTTCAAGGCTAGTGACTCATCTGAAAAAGCAAAAACCCAATCCAGAGATTGCCCCAGACATGTCCCGAGTGTCAAGAAAAAGTTCTCGTGAGAGCAATTGCCATAATGTCTATTTACTTCACTCAGAAGGGAACACGCTCTTGGTCTAAATATAGTTGGGGGCGGCAACCTTTATCCCACTCTGGCACTGAGAACAAGAGGGTCCGAGTACTGTTAAGAGTACTCAGTAAGTTTCAGGCCGGCCTGCAGTTTCTGGGAGCCTCTTTGTCCTCAACTAAGGAAAATAAATACCCAACCTAGAGAAAGCACGCACATGCATCTCCATAGCTGTCAAGGGTCCGGATTATGAAATGATCTTTAGGCCACTGACGTTGAGATGGTGGAAAACCCTGATGCCCAGTATTGTTCTACCAATGGCCAAAAACCAAAGTGGAGAACTGGACACGAAACCAGCCATGTGATCTTTCACATGCTCTCTGTTTCTCACTCATGTGACAGGGTCAACAGACCCAAGGTGGAGCTGAAGACCATTTCAGGGGTTTCCAGCCTTTTCGAGCCTGCAGGCACCTTTGGAATCCTGATGCAGGGTGGTGGGCGCAAGAGTGAACTGGCTGCTGCAGGAGGCGGAGCTAGCCACAAGAGGTCATGGAGTAAGGCTGGGAATAATTCGAATAGATTTCAGAAGCTCATTTCAGGAAGAAGCTCTATTTAACAGGATGCCTTTCTAAATTTACATGTCATTTCAAAATATTTTCTTGCATACACAGCTTTAGGGGTGTGCCAAAAAAAAATCGGTATTTTCGGGTTCGGGTATATCGAACCCAAAAAATATCAGTATTTCCCAATATTTTCAAATCCCAATAATAGTATGGTATTCGGATTCGGTAAATATTTGGGAAACTCGATTTTTAACAGCCCCATTATACCTTATGGGGACCCCAAGTTTTGAAAAGAAGACCAGGGGGTCCAGTTCTATGGACCCATAAAGAAGGTGCCCCATCCTCCATTGGTATCAACGGTTTCATAGTCCCTTTAAATGCCTTGGCCAAGTGGCGTGAGTTCACTTGGAAGGCATTTAAAGGGACTGCAATCCCTTTAAATGCTCTTTAACTGCGGCTATCTGGTGGTCCTGAAAATCCCAAATATTTTGGGGATTTTGGGGGGTTGGCCATTTCGGATAGCTGAAAAATTAGCCAAATCGATATCCGGCTAAAAGAATATCTGGAAAATACAGATAAGGTATTTTTCAGATATATTTTCAGCTCAGATATCGCCGAATGCACACCTCTACACAGCTTACCTTCAGGATCACAGTGAAGATCCTTGTACAGTGGTAGGAGCTGCTGCTGTAGCAACTTTGGAAAAAACCTGCACAGCCAACCAAGTCTCCGATGGCCAATCAGAAATTGCCTGCTAGGCAAAAACCCCACCCGGCTCCACCAACTTTCTAAAAACATTTGGCAGGTGCTAGGAAAGGGGTTCGTGCGCACCACGTTGCAGACCCCTGGGCCATGCTATGGGGCTTCTGAGCCGCTTGTTTCTGACAACTCTCACTTTTGTGTCTACTTTAGGGAAGGAGTAGCAGCAATAGAATCAGTCCATGCAGTACGTGGAGCAGCTGGAAAAGGGAATTCACCTCTGAAGGCACATCCATCCATACGCCTGCTCTCTGTGGTCCGTGATGAACTGTTTTCATTGTACAGCCCCAAGCAGAGCCAATCCCATGCTAGATTCCGGTCCCAAAGTCTCACTTCTGACACTTCCAGTTAAGGAGACCATCTGTATCGCTTTGTGTTTTCCCCCCCTTCAGCTGCAACCTGTGATTAAGCTGTCTTGCTCGAGTCATTCTGAAACAATTTTCTCGGTAGGGTGCTTTTCTGTGGTCCACCCCTTTTCTCCCTGTCAAACACTGGGGTCTAGATAGCATTGTTTGATCTGCGAGGGGCTGGGGGGGTAGACAGCCTTGTTTTTTTGGTAGGAAGGACACGTTCAGCCTAATCTGTAGTTCCCAGTAGCAAGTGTGCTCTGCTGAAGGCCTGTGCTGAAAGCCCTGCACTGGCTGCCAATAGCGTTCCGAATCGGCTTCAAAGTGCTGGTACTTACCTTTAAAGCCCTATATGGCCAGGGTCCGACGTACCTGAGGGACCGCCTTTCACCACACATACCCCAGAGAGCACTACGGTCGGGGGCCCAACATCGCCTTGTGATCCCAGGCCCCCAAGAGGCCAGGCTTGTGGCAAACAGGGCCAGGGCCTTTTCGGTGGCGGCTCCTACCTGGTGGAATGAGCTCCCGGAGGAGATCGGGGCCCTGCGGGACCTTTCACAGTTCCGCAGGCCCTGCAAGATGGACCTCTTCCGCCAGGCTTTTAATTAGGAGCCGCCACTACCACCTCCACCGACTACCGTGAGGGACGGCCCAATATAAAACTTTTACAGTACCGCGATGGATCGATGCCGCCAAAATGGGCTCTGGGTTAATATATTCTCAAGCCTTCATCTTGATTTGACTGAAGCAATAATACCACCGAGCACTTTATTAATGTTAGTCTGATCGTTTTATTTTGATTTTAATGTATTATACTGGCACTTGGCGCCCTTGTTATGAGCCGCCCTGAGCCCGCTTGCAGGGAGGGCGGGATAAAACTGTGAGAACATAAATAAAAAAATAAAAAAATAAAGTGGCGAGGGCCATTCATGTGACTGCGTTCTTTAAACTGTGGTTAAAATAGATATGCGTCTTTCCCTCACAGTATCATCCGCGGGAGAATCTATATGGGAAAGATTGGGTTCATATTGAGGGGGGGGGCATTTAAAAAAAATCTATTTCCGTTTCATGCCGAAGCACCAAGGAGGGCTTCCCTCTATCCTCTGCCTTGTAGTGCAGGTTCCCGTAATTTGGAGAGGGGGAGGAAGAAGAGGATATGAATCAAGGAATGGGTGAAAGCTTGGAGAAACTTCGGGGAAAAGGGAGGGTTTTTTGCTCCCTCTAATGCTCCCTCTAAGCTGTGGAGTCTTATGAGCAAAAATCCTACTTTGTGAGCTACTGGCACGAAAGCTGTGAGCGAGTGATTTGGCTACTACCTACATTAGTTTGTCCTGGAGCCGTCCTTCCTGAGCTAAGACGAAAATGTGTGAGCCAGAGGCTAAAAAACTATGAGCTGGCTCACACTAACTTAGCTTACTGGTTGGGACAGACAACCAAGAAAACAATAGAGAAGAGAATAAGGCAACTCAGGAGGAAAGAAAACAGATAATATAACTGCATCAAAGAAATCCACAGAGATCATAGAATCATAGAATGTTAGAGTTGGAAGGGACCTTGCAGGTCATCTAGTCCAACCCCCTGCACTCTGCAGGAGCATAGGTGAAAGACAGCCCTACATACCTACAACATACCCGAAAGATGGCCGTCCAGCCTCCGCTTGAAAACGTCCAGCGATGGAGCATCCACCACCTCCCGAGGCAGTCTGTTCCACTGCTCAACCACTCTCACAGTTAGGAAGTTTCTCCTGATACTTAGTCGGTAACGACTCCCTTGTCATTTCCACCCATTAGATCTAGTCTTGCGATCCGGAGCAAGAGAGAATAGATCTGCTCCATCTTCTACATGACAGCCCTTCAGATACTTGAAGACTGCAATCATGTCCCCTCTAAGCCTTCTCTTTCCCATGGGATGCTAAACCCAATGGGTTGGATCCCACAGAAAACCTCTGGTGATGGAAGAGATTTCTATAAGCAGAACAGGAGTTCCTCACCTCTTTCCTCCTTCTGTAGCCTAAAAAATTGTCCCTGAAATCCTGCCCCTGAGGCATTGGAGTCCTCAACAAATGGCACAAAGGGGGAAATTAGCCAAAAACACACACACCCCTTTTCCATGCACAAAATACTCCTGCAGGTTTCAAGCCAACATAAGGGGAATATGTACAATAATTCTACAGATAAGGAAACACAGAAAGCGACACGAAGGGCCGTGCTAGACAGGGGAGAATACTCACAGCACTGTCGATCCCCAGCGTTAGCAGCATGATGAAGAATACCACGGCCCAAAAGGTGGATCCGTTAAGGGTTGAAATCGCTTCTGGATAAATGATGAAAACCAATCCAGGTCCTGAAGGAGAAGGAGAAGATTTGTTTCTTAATTCTTAAAATTTAGCCCCTTTGGTAGAAATGCAGTGTTTGTGTTTGGTAGAATTGCAATGTTTATGACTCAACAGTAGGTGTCGCTATACAGCCATTTGCATAGCTAACAGAACTATAGCCTTGCCTAGTGATAAAACAGAGCTTTGAAAGCAAGAAGAGATTCACTGAAAGTAACCAGTACTTCATTAGATCTCTAAGGTAATGAGAGAGATTTGTTTTTTGTTCCATAAGAATAGGCTGTACCGATTCTACAGTGGAAGGAAGGGAGGGAGGGAGGCTGAACTAAGCTGTGGGAGAAAAATCATTCTCTAAAAGCACTGTAAGAGGATTTGGCCCACTTAGGATGAACAGAGACCCACATTATAGATAAGAAGAACAAACTCCAAACGGTCTTTGATTCTAAAGCACATCAACAATACCTGGAAACTGTACCTAGATGTTTGGACAGACCTCCCATCAGGCCCATAGCTAAAGCGGGGTCCACCCCCCTAGCTGTTTTTATGGGGCCCCTTCCTGAGTCTCGGCTCCCCTACCCCAACTCCCCCTGATTGCCAGTCAGCCTGTTGGCAGGGAGGACAAGGGCAGTGATTTCGGAGGCCGCCCCTGGTGCTGTGCCTCGGGAAAAGGCACTGGGGCTCTTTGGGGAGGGGGGAGCTGGACCCAGATGCTCCACAGGGAAGGCCTACCCTTCGGGAGGGGAGGGGAGAGGGAGGGAAGCTGTGGCCGCCCGCTGCAGCCCTTGCCCTGGAGTCTTTGATTGGATTAGCAGGCAGGGCCCCCTCCAGGCCCCCTCCCTAAAAAAGTCCTTAGCTACGGGGCCGCCTCCCATGTGTTTCTTATATGTATCTCTCTGACGTTTTAAACAAGTTGTAGACCCCTGGCATTAACAAAAAATGGTAGAAGAGAGAAGAGATTGGATTTATACCCCGCCCTTCACTACCGAAAGGTGTTTCAGAGCGGCTTACAAACTCCTTTCCCTTTCCCTCCCCACAACAGACACCCTGTGAGGTAAAAGAAGAAGAAGAGATTGGATTTATATGCCGCCCTTCACTACCCAAAGGAGTCTCAGAGCGGCTTACAAACTCCTTTCCCTCCACCTCCCCACAACAGACACCCTCTGAGGGAGAAGAAGAAGAAGAGATTGGATTTATACACTGCCCTTCACTACCCAAAGGAGTCTCAGAGCGGCTCACAATCTCCTTTCCCTTTCCCTCCCCACAACAGACACCCTGTGAGGTAAAAGAAGAAGAAGAGATTGGATTTATACCCCGCCCTTCACTACCCAAAGGAGTCTCAGAGTGGCTTACAAACTCCTTTCCCTCCACCTCCCCACAACAGACACCCTGTGAGGGAGAAGAAGAAGAAGAGATTGGATTTATACACTGCCCTTCACTACCCAAAGGAGTCTCAGAGTGGCTTACAATTTCCTGTCCCTCCCCACAACAGACACCCTGTGAGGTAGGTGGGGCTGAGAGAGCTCTGACAGAAACGGCTCTTTTTCAAGAACAGCTCTTAGCAGAACTACGGCTTGCCCAAGGTCATCCAGCCAGTTGCAAGTGGAGGAGTGGGGAATCAAACCTGGTTCTCCCAGATTAGAGTCCGCGCACTTAACCCCTACACCAAACTGGTACCTTGATAGAACTCTGGCTATGAGCACTCATTCTCCAGCTTCCCACTGGCTTATAATTACAACCAATGAGGCCATCAGGAGGAGGACAGGAGACAACCAGATAACGTCCACCACTACACCAAACTGGCTCTGGTAGGGATGTGAGGGTTGAAGAGAGGAGACTTCACTTCGGGGCAAGGGGGAAAAGAGCCTTCCTACCTTCAGTGGCCACATCCTGGATTTTGACTTTGGACTTATGAGCCATGTAGCCTAAGATAGAAAAAATGGCGAACCCCGAGATGAAGCTGGTGCAGCAGTTGACAGTACTGGTCAGCAACGCGTCTCTAAGAGGGAGGGGGAAAAAGCACAAGAGACGGCATCAGGAGAACAGAGGGAATCCCAACCTCGACATTACTGGTAAACTACACACAGAGAGAGACACACACACAGGCTATGGTCAGACAGACGGAATAATCTACTTTCAACCCACGTTCCAACTGGATTTTTACTGTGTGAACTGGCAAAATCCGATTCGAAAGTGCACTGAAAGTGGATTATTCCGTCCGTCTGACCACAGACACACAAAGCTGCCTTATATCGAATCAGTATGTACAAAGACAAATATGGTCACAGTCCGTAGACATGAAAAGATAGAGCCACAGGAACTGTGTAAAGTTCTGCTACAGAACAGGGTGCCTGGTAGGAATTTCACCTTCCCGACATACATGTGGCCCTAGATTAGGATCGTTCGGAATTAGAATTGTAAGCCGCTCAGAGCCCCTTGGGGGGGGGGGTGAGCGGGATAGAAAGTTGAATGAAATAAATAAATAATAAATAAAGTGCGCTCAATGTTTCTTTAACGATAGCAATAATGTTATAAATATGAAAATTACAAAAGTGATACTAACACATTCAAATTGCAAATCCAGTTACATAAGATAGAAAATAATGACGACGGCGGGACGGTGGTCTCCGGAATGCGATGCCGTTTCGACAAACGTCTTCTTCTGACCAAGAATCTATAAGTGGATGATGTGTGGGAAATTGCACTTCAGTAGAAAAGCTACCCGATTCACACTGAGTTCAATGACAGTTTCACCTATTTCATTGCACAAGTAATGGAAAAAATTTCTCTCAGACGAAATAAAGCCCCCCCCCGGGCCCCGGTCTAAAACAGTCCAGCGGCACCTTTAAGACCAAGTTTTATTCAGGTACAAGCTCTCCCTCCTCTGCGAGGACAGATCTGCACGTTCCCCCCCACACACACAATAGCCAGCAATCCAAAACAGTCCAGTGGAGGCTGAGCGGTGGGTGTTGCCTTCTGACACACTTCCGGTGATGTCAGGGGGCGTGGCATATGCAAATGAGTTATGCAAATGAGTTATGCTAATGAGCTCCTGCACCTCTTTTTCTACGAAATGACCCCTCCCCCCTTCTGCACTAAAATTGAGTTCAACCATCTTCTTATTACAGGGTTTCCTCCCCATTCTGCATTACATTCCCTCCCTTCAGTGGTCAGCCCGATTTCAGCCTGCTGTTGCCCCAGGTTCTTTGGATGCTGTTTTGCTGTGGACTTAAATTGCCTCGACGTGAACACTGAGAAAATCCGGAGTGGCAGGCAAATGCGGGAAGGACCTTTCTTTCCTACGGATGTGAGAGTTAGAAGACGCAGGATATCCCACGTGGGCCCAATCTGCATCTAGCATTCACTCCGCTGCTTTACCAGACTCATGCGGGAACAGAAATTCCCCTCTACATTGCACGCCACTTTCACTTTGAGGAATTGTTGGATTCTATGGAAGCCTCCACACTGCATGCCGCTTTCACTTCGTTTAATCTCTCAGATTTATGGTAAAGGTAAAGGTCTCCCTCGCTCGAAAGCCAGTCGAATCTGACTCTAGGGTTGCGGTGCTCGTCTCCGTTTCCAAGCCGAAGAGCCAGCGCTGTCCGAAGACGTTTCTGTGGTCATGTGGCTGGCATGACTAGACACCGAGGCACACAGAATGCTGTTACCTTCCCACCAAAGCGGTACCTATTTATCTACTTGCAATTTCTTGCTTTCGAACTGCTAGGTTGGCAGGAGCTGGGACCAGAGCTCACTCCGTCATGCGGCACTCGGGTCGAACTGCCGAACTACAGACCTTCCTGTCTGCAGCTCAGCGTCTTAACCACTTGAGCCATCTGCATAGATTTATGGTCATTTTATGGTTTGGTAAAACAGCAGAGCAAATGCTAGATGCAGATTGGGCCACGATCACCCGCTTCCTGTTGATATTAGGGGAGTGGAGACGGGTGCCAGAGGGAGTGCATGAACCGGCAGCTTTCTTCCAATCTCACCTGAGGCACAAAAACAACTGATTTAGCAGGATCCGAATTAATGGAAATGGGGCTGAACGGGTAACCTTTTCTGGAAGGAAAATGGAGTTCCCAGGGCTATTTTTGGGCAGGAACACACAGGAACGGAGTTCCGGCTGGCTCCCGAGTTGGCCACGCCCAGCAGGAACTCATTAACATAATAGGCCACACCCAACAGCAGAAACTCATTAGCATAATAGGCCACACCCAACAGCAGAAACTCATCAGGATTGGCTACATTAGGGGTGTGTGGCCTAACATGCAAAGGAGTTCCTGCTACAAAAACAAGCCCTGGGTTTTGACAACAAACGAGGTAAACAGAATAAGAAGCAAAAGGTGGGTGTGGCTGGATGACCACACTTCTGGTAACATGGGGTTGTGTGGCCTAATATCCCAATGAGCTATGCTATCAGGGGTGTGGCCTAATATGCTAATGAGTTTCTGCTGTTAGGCGTGGCCTGTTATGCAAATGAGTTCCTGCTGGGCTTTTTCTACAAAAAAAAGCCCTGGGAGTTCCTAAGAACAGAGTGGGGACGATCACTGAACCTACCTGCCTAGTCCTTTACTTTGCCCTTTTCTGTGAACTTGGTGGCAGCGGTTGCACTCTCCACTGGTACTGGGAGCCACATTTCCTACCGTTTTTGAAACCCAAAGATGCCCAGGTGGCCTGGCTTGGAGATATGGCTTGGAGATCTCTTGGAATTACAAAGGATTTCCAGGCTACCGAGACCAGTTCCCTTCAGAGAGAATGTCTGCTTTGGAGGGTGGGCTCCGGGGCTATTTTGGGGCAGGAACGCACAGGAACGGAGTTCCGGCTGGCTCCCGAGTTGGCCACGCCCAGCAGGAACTCATTAGCATAATAGGCCACACCCAACAGCAGGAACTCATTAGGATTGGCTACAGTAGGGGTGTGTGGCCTAACATGCAAAGGAGTTCCTGCTACAAAAAAAGGCCCTGGGTTTTGACAACAAACAAGGTAAACGGAATAAGAAGGGAAAGGTGGGTGTGGCTGGATGACCACACTTCTGGTAACATGGGGGTGTGGCCTAATGTGCTAATGAGCGGTGCTGTCAGGGTGTGGCCTAATATGCTAATGAGTTCCTGCTGTTGTCTGTGGCCTATTATGCTAATGAGTTCCTGCTGGGCTTTATGATATTATAACCTGCGGAGGTCCCTCCCCTCCCCCAACCCTGCCTTCCCAGGCCCTGCCCCCAAATCTCCAGGAATCTCCCAACCTGGAGTTGGCAACCCTACCAACTGAAGACCGGCAGCACTGGCATTACTCTGCTTTAGCTTCATGAGGATGCTGTACAGCCAATCAGATTTGGCCTTGTGGTGACATCTGAAGCCGGGACCAGGTTGAGGACAACGTCTCCTGGTTCCTCCTTGTGACTTCTTTTAGTTTTGAAAACAGGGAGGAACTGAGGGTGTCCAGCAGCTGCTAGGGTTGGTCCCCCGTTTTGGGAGGGGTTCTACCCGCCGGGGGAAGCCCCACCCCCAACACCCACAGCCCCCCCTCTCTCTCCCTTTAAGTGTGTGGAACCCGTGTTTCCTCCCAAGCCTGATCTCCACAAGCTTGCAGGGAAATGCCAGCTTCGTGCTCTTAAAAGGGAAACGCGGCTGCTCTTAAAGGGGAAACGCCGGCTCCTGCATTTAAAAGGGAAACGCCGGCTCCTTTAAGTGCAGTGAACGGCCGTTTCTGGAGATCCGGCGTTGAGCTCGACGACGGGGGGGGGGGGGGGCGGACGTCCCCAACGTGACGTCATCACATTGGGAATGCCCCGCCCCCTCCAGGAACTCCCCCAAAGTCCCCCGCTAGCAGCTGCTGGTAGGAGTGTGAACATTCTGCCTTGGCTTGCAGTTTCCCCCAACAGCAGGAAAGGAAGGGGGCACCCTTTGTGAATGAGATGGAAATGATGGGGAGATATTTCACCCCAGGCTCCTCCTGCTACAGACAGCTTTTATAGCCACACACCCAACCGAAGCCGCACCGCCTCCTTCACAAAGCGCTATTGCGAAGCTAGTTGAGTTTCACTTCCATAATGGGGTTTTGCAGACTTATAAAGCCGATGCCAACTCTCTTTTCTTCCTAAGGTGAAGTCATTTAAATTCCAATTGTCTTGGCACCAAACCTTGTTTTAGAAGATTAAAAGATAAAACAATACTTCAGAAACGTTACAAATTGCTCTTTTCAGCCGAGGATAAACAACATGGGTAAACAGCATACGACAAGTTTAATAATCTCCAAACAAATTTAACGCAATTGGGAGCGTTGCCCCCAGCAATGTTTCTCTCTCTCTCTCTCCCCCTTCCTCCCGTAGATCTAGGGCAGTGGTAGCGAACCTATGGCACGGGGCCAGAGGTGGTACTCAGAGCCCTCTCTGTGGGCACGCGTGCCATCGCCCCAGCCAGGCCCAGACCATCATTAAAGTGTCGAATTCTCTGCCAAATAATTTTAAGTAAATGAAAGCATTTGGGATTGCTTTCCTTACT